GATATAATGTATAGGCCTGGTGGGTTCAGGGTCTTTCATCTTACATCTGCCTGCGAGCAGGTTGGAGGTGCAAGATACCTGAGCGGGTAATGTTAATTTTACCTGTGATCCTTTGAATAAATCAGCACTGTTTTGAAGTTACTTGGACTGTCTCGTCTCTCAGAGTTAGCAATGCTAACAAGAACCAAAGACCAACAAAACCCTTACTATAAGATTCTTCTGTAGGGTGTATCAGAGGCTACAAACAACCTGTATGGAGTATTTGTTGTAGAAAATATCAAGGTTGCTACTGAAAACGACAGGATGTTGTTGTACGGAGTACACGTGTCTTTCTCCACTCTACAGGACACTACGCTTGCGTTCTGTTTGGTCACATCTGACCAGACAGTGCTGGGAGGATATCACAGCAGCCTTTCCAGGGGCAGGCTGGCTGGACATGCAGTCAGTCCCTGCTGCTCCAACATGCAATGAGTAGTGCTCAGTCTCAGACCGAACACCTGCTGACAGGCGTCTCAGAGCTGCTGTCTCATCTCTTGTGGAAACTGGGGCTGTGAATGATCTGAGACAGCTTTCCAAATGAGTGTATAATGTCCATGGATTCTTCTGTTTGTGCGGCAGTCAGCCCTGGCTGGTCAGGAAATTCTAGCCCAGGTGGTGAGATGTGATCCAGGGTGCTGATTCTGGGGAGGAACTGGGCCAAAGCTGGGACCCCTCGGTCTCGACCCTGCAGCCTTTGCCGGTGGTTTCCCAGACTGAGCAGGGCTCGGTGCTTGTCTGAGATGTAAATGTTGTAGCCATCAGGCAAGATCTGCTCTCTGAAGGTGCAGTTGTCCCTGCTGTAGTTGTGCTGGGACAGAGGGACAGACATTCACTTGTATAAAAGGATGTTCTACAATTAACTGAGTTGTTGAGATGGAATTCAAGTGACCTATATATGATCTGATATATTAGATTTTGTTCAAATTAAGTATTAAAAACTACTGGTGATATTAAAATTACAAATTGCTTGTAAAAAATAAGAGCACATTTGTTTTTGCAAAATAATATATCATAGAAAAAAACCCTTTTTGTTCATGCCAGCACAATCTGGTAGGACCACACTGTGGCTAATATTAGCTAAAGTTAACTGATATGGATAAATATGGGCCTGTTTTGATGAGTGGCTAATGTAAAGACCTCACTAGGGGTGCATATGCCTAAATTAGACCCATGTGTGGAAGAAATTAATCAACAAAAATTTAATTGGAAACTATTTGGCTGATTGATTTTTCATTTAAGTAATTATTTTTTGCAAAGATTCTCAATATTTTCTGGTATATTATATTACATTACATTATAAAGTAAGTTAAAAGGAGTAAGGGCCCATATTTATCAAGCATCTCAGAGTAGGAAATCATTCCTAACTGGCCAAAAATTATTCGGTCCTACTTTTAGTAGTGGATATAAGAGCAATTTATCAACATTCTTATCTTAGGAATGGTGCTCAGACAGAGATACACAGGCTTAGTGGGAGGAGAGATGTTTTACTTAGACTTTATGACACTGAGCTTGTTAAAAAAATTGAGTTTGGCCATAGATGGGGTAGTTTTAGTGAAAGATTCAATTGCTCCAACAAAAGGAAGAACACATGCTGACTGAAACTAGTCAGTGCTATAGGCTACACGTTTTATTAACAAAGCAGGTGCAGCAACAGTGCTGATCTGAGCCTGCCAAGGCTGATGGTTTTGCTGTAATGAGACCTGATCACTCTTACAGCTCCACTAATGATGCACCAATTCATTCATTTCCACACAACTCTAACACAAACCTACAGCCTATTACAAAGAGGGAATCATTATAAAGCACATTACAGTCTACACATGAAGCCTTCACTTGACAAGTGATGCTGATATTGGCGTTTCTATTTCTCACTGTATAAAACTACAAACCATGGCAGCCAGAAAAACTACAACGCGCAAGTAGAATGACGCCTTGGTGGCTCTGAGTGTTGTAAAACAGTGACTTCACACTCATTCTGGGGAGTGGAATTTCTCCTAGTAGGACACTTTTAAGTCCTATTGTGAGGTAGGACCTTTTTATTCCTATAGCTTTCAGCCTGGTTCCTAGGAAAGAATCTGTGGCACTTGATAAATATGATCCCAGATTGCAACATGAAATTAAAATCCTGAATTAAGACTTCATGGGTGGTGGTTTTAGATAGAAGGCCCCTTTCACCAAATAAACAAATAAATGAAAACCTTAAGGCTGCTGCATGTCCTTTGATGGCTGTTTATTTTGTCAGAAGAGACCCATTCAGGTTTTTCACTTTGCAAACACACCCTACCCTGCACCACGCTGGACAAAGGTTGATGAACCAGTCAACTGAATGAATGACTGACTGTTATGCAGTGTTTGTCTAACATCTGATTGACAACACAGGAAAATTACCTCAGCTCAACAGTATTTCAGAAATGTTTAGAAAAATTTCTTAACTACATTGTATCCATTTTGGATAAGCATTTTGAGACACCTGGCTAAATTTAGAAGATGCAATTTATCAAAAGATCACCATTGTTATACACTTAGTATATGTAACAACAATTAATTAATGGTGAGAAATAATCAATTATTCTGTAAAATAACTGAATATTCATTTGAACTCTAAGCACTGGCTTTAGCTGAAATATCAAAGTCAGAATCCAGTGGTATGTCCTGCTGCCGTTTTGGCCACTTAGCTGACCTCTTCTGTTGTACTGATGACATTTAACCTGTGAGGGTAACCTCTGAAGGCTATTTTTGAGCATACAACATTCTTATCTAGACATGCAGAGGGAAACAAATAACAGCCTGTTAACTAAGGTTATGTTCCTCAGGTAGATTTACAGTTATTTGCATTATTACAAATGTCAGTGTGATTTTGGAATGAGGTCAATAAGGCTTCTTATACCAAATTTAGCCTCCCTCCAGTGGCACCTAGAGAAATTATTTAGCTGGAGGGCCACATGGGCCCAGTAAAAGTCATGGGGTGGCATACTACAAAGGCTAAGCAGCACAGAGGAACTTCGGGCTATGCAGGTTAAAAGGAAGGATATTATATTATAGTGTACAATAAAATAAAGTGCATACTGTTTCATTGTATAGTTGATCTCACGTGAATATCAGACTATGATACTCACATTAGATCAATCAATTAATTATTAATTCCAATTCAAATGCATCATCAGCACTAAGTCACAATGTGAACAGACTGACTTGTCAGGCTGGAAAGCAAAGCGCCAGCGCTCACAGTAGCAGCTGAACTAGACCGTGTGGTGATTTTAACTCACCACCCATCAAGTGATATTTGTGCTGACAGATATTCAGGGATAATGACATTGTAAAATGAATTATGGACTGAAACTGAACGTCTGATTCAAACTATGACAATAGAAATGGTGAAGACACATTAACCACAGGTTATTATTATTGTTCATATGAGCCATTTAGCGTTCCATATGCTCTTTTTATAGTCTGAGATTTGATTAATTTAGTTTGGTGGGTTTATCTAAAATTAACATTCTAATTTTTAAAAAATTTAAACTGAATTAAATTTAATTGTTTTGTTCTCTTTTAGGTCTTTGTTTTTGATGAGGGCTAAGTCTCAGTAAAACTAACAAATTATTTTAATCAGGTAATTTTAATTAAATGTTTCATTTGAGAATGTTCCATTTCAGCCAAATCACCCATTACAGATCTCTTGTAAAATGTCACATCTGAGCGCAGACATCATAGCTTGTTAGCAATTTGATTAATATCTACAAGGTAAATCATTTTAAGCTGGTTCAGCTGAGGGGCATTATTTCTATTCTGATTTATTTCTGCTGCACTGAAACCATGAATTAACTCAACTTCAACAGTTATTTTAATGTTGTTTTTTTTAATGTAAAAAGTAAATGTACCTTTTTTAAAATGTAAAAATAACTTAAAAGGTAGAAAGTGAAATGAACTTGAGAAAAAAAAGTTCAATGATCAAATATAGTGAGTTGAAACTCATTGCACACAGATTTACTTTCCTTTTCTAATCCTCAATTTTAAGTTTAGCTACGAGTGTTAAAGCCGTGGAGAACAGAGTCGGTACAAAGACAGAATCTGAGGTTGGTCAGTGACGCCGTTAGAATCTAAGTGTACAGGTGTCGGGACTGGGCTCCGTATTAACCTTGATCATGGTTTGCATCATTTTAGTTTTTATCACTTTATTTAACATGTATTACAGACAGACATGGTTTCCACAGCAAATGGGTGCATACTGGCAAGTCTGATAGTTTTTGTTGAATGAACTGGGTGACTTCACAACAGTGCAGTTGTTAAAATCTTGACTTCAAGTCAGAGTGACCTATAAATTCTAAGGTAGCCTGAGAATTAAAACTAGACATTCTAAGTTGAATAAACTAGAAATTAACAAAACTTAGATATTTCCATTAAATTAATGAAAAAGCTGATTCCACTAAATTCCTGTATCATGTGTTACACTGCACTATTATCATTCTACAGTGGTAATTAGACAAAATGATGCTTTACCTCACTTGACATTTTAGCTAATAATTGACATGTGACTTTTCATAAACATTAACAAAAGGAATAAATAAATTATTGAAAAGCTTTTGAACTTTAATACAGAGCAGATTCAGACCTAATCTGGCAGCAGGTTGTTCCTTACCGATGAGTACAGCCTTCCATCGCCTTCTATGCAGAGAAAGCGTGCGGTCGCTACTCCTCTGATGACAACAAAGCCTGAATCCACTGGACGGATTTCCAACAGACCTGTAGTTCAGATGCTCATCAGAACCAAGCCTACTCTAGTCATCGGTGTGATTTGCCAGCAAACTTGTGTGATTTAAAATGCTGTACTTACTGTGCAGAGTTTGGACCGCAGAGCCGTGGATCCGTCCATCCCCACTGATCAGCAGGTGAAGTCCTGGCCTGGCGGCATAGAGATGCCTGAGCCGAACCACCTGGCTCCAGCCATGGTCAATGTGGGGCCCCTGGTCTGTTAGTGGTATGCAAACAACTCCAGCAACAAAAAGGACACTGACAACAGTAACACTGGCCACAAGCAGAAGCATGATTTTGTCTAATTATCTGTACTTGCTGTGTTGCTGTCCCCTACTGTTGCAATGTGAAGCTGGGCTCATCCCAACCCAACCTTTTAAATGTAGCCCTTATCAGGTGCAGATAACCCTCTTTATTAAATCCATTTCCTAGAAGCTGAACATGACACACCCCTTTCATGACGTCCATCTGAAGGGGTGTGTCACGTAAGCTCATTCAGCTCCAGGGGCCCTTGTCATGTCAGTACAAACTGCATTCAAAACTCTGACAACTTTTGGTGGCATTAAATATCTGCTAAGCTGATTGATTTATTAAATACAACTCATGGCATTTTCTGAATGGGCAGGAAACAATTTTCACCTCTACATGCATTGTGGTTTTACCCATTCCAATATTAGCTGCTTTAAAAACTGCACTTACTGTTTGGCTAATTATTTCATGTTGAAGGTACCTGGAGACTCTAAAGCCATAGTTAGCAATTTAACCATGCACTGTGTTTAGACTTGCTGCTACTTTGTAAATGTGTAAACATACTGTAATGCTGTTAGAAAGTGATTTGGAATAAATGCTCATTGCATTAGGTAACTTACATGGGGTCTGCAACTGCTGCCCCTGGGGTGGCCTCAGGCAGCCTTCACTCACATTGAGTGAACATTGTCCCTCTGCTATAAAAGCACATACAACAGTATATGCATACCACAAAGTTTCCTGGAGATTACATTGCACGTTTAGTACTTTATGCTCATAATATTTACATACTTTAAATTCTGCGCTTGTACTTGCAATAAAGCATTTTTGCAGTTTTGCTTCTTGTGCCTAAGTAAATGATGTAGGCAGTAGTATTAACAGAGGTATTAGTAGTAGTAGTAATGGTAGCAGTAGTTGTATTAAGATTATTTTTACTGTTGTAAGTTAAGAGTAGTCTGACAGAAGAAACAGTTCCAGTTAAGTAACCCTTGGCTCATACCTACAAACTACGTCTTACACTGATGCCCATGTTGCATAATTATGTTAGAGTGCTACAGTTCCAAGTGCACTCTGTGCAATTGCAAGTTTTTTGTTTCTTTTTATTTGTGGACAGGGTAAAGTCTACAGACTGGTCTGAATCCAGGCAGAGCTGTGAGACTGGGTCACTGCACAATGAAATAATAGATTTCTTTCCACACTTGTTTCTAGCCTGTGCTTCCTTTGACCTGCCGTACATTTATATAGAAAGTAAACTGCAATGGAGAGCACACACCAGCATTTGTTAAAGTGCAGTTTAAAGCACAGGATTCAAAGCCTTAGGTTTTGTTACATTTATAAATTTGTAAATTGATCCTCTCTGAAGGAAGACAGCATTGCTGCCTGTGTGTTAAAGCACTCTGACAAGTTCTTCCCCTCTGGCTGGAATGTGTGCACAGCTTCTTCACTAGATGGCAGCAGAGAATGTGAATGAATCTGGTCAAACCATGAAAGAAACACTGGGATTTGGGGGAGAAGAGGACTCTAAAATTCAAGTTTGTTTTATTTCTCAAACACAACACAATGGATCCAGAATACTTTACAGAAAAATGAATTAACACAGACATTATACATAGCTACAATAACCACATACTGTCATATGCAACCACTGTGTACTGTATTTTCAGAGCATTAGAGCATGGTCCTATTTTTTAATTAAAATGATTAGACTTGGCCTGACAACATGTACATGTCCACATTGTGCTTGACTGACACGTACCTCACTCTTCTGTCACACTGAAGAGTCCAGGGAAAGTCCTGGGCATAGTAGCTGGATGGAAAATTGCAGCTACTGGCATGTTTTCAGTTTGACAGTACAGATCACTGAGTGTAGATTGATAGACAAAATTAGCAATTTTATCCATTTCGAGATACAGTTACAACAAAATAAGGTGTGAAAAAGGTGAAAGGGGCTGAGTACTCATTGAAGCCTCTGTAAATAAAATATAAATTGTATAAAATCTGATCTGAAGAATAAAACCACCATGGCCATAACAAAATGGACCATAACCACCTTTATTTTAAACTATTCTATAAATATAAAAATGGATATGTAGTGATCCATTAGTATGGTGGTGTGATCCATTCCCCAGCAGAGGGTAGTGGATAAGTTTCAGAGAAAATACTGCATCACATGGGTCACAGCAACAGAGACGTAGCACGATGGTTTTAAAAGGTCGGTAAGATTCTTGAAGAACAAACCAAAAAAATGTTAAATAAGAAACATTTTGTTATTCTGCCTTAATCTGCTCAGGTTTACATGAGTGTAGGTACAAGTGACAGAAAGGTGACCATGCTAACAGCAAACTGAAGCTATGTATTAAAATAAATATACCAGGCATATGGATAGTCTGAATATTATTAGTAGCTTTCATTTTTACAACCCCAAATCTGAAAAAGTATGTAAAATAAAAAAATTAAAACTTAAAATAGTGATGTGTAAATTATGTGTCCTGTGTTGCATTGAAAACAACACAGCATCACATTATTTGATGTGACACCTCATCAGTTTTATTCTTTGTTCAAAATAAACACTCATTTCAATTCTGATGCTGCAACACATTCCAAACAAAGTTGTGACGGCTGCATTTCAGGGCCAGTAATGAGGTGAAACAATGACATGATGATTCTATTTGAACCAGGTGATGTCAACAGGTGACTGCATCATGATTTGGTACAAAAGTGAAAACCAGGAAAGGCCGAGCCCTTTAGAAGCAAAGATGGGCCGAGGACCACCAGATTGCCAACATATGTGTGAGAAAATGATTGAAATGTTTAAAAACAATGTTCCTCAAAGAAAGATGGGAAGGGGTTTGGATGTGTGTCACCCTCTACTGGGATGGAATACCAGGTGGAAAACATGGTAGAAATTTATGTTAGTTTCATGTAATAATGTCAGCAAGGTTACATTTTGTTCATTTCCCCATGCATGAGATGTTTTCCTCTTTTCACTGGAGGTGACGTTTACTTCCATGCTTCATCTATGTCAGCATATACATCCACACAGCAATGCGTACAACACCAAGCACATTTTTAGTGATATTTCAAGTTCATGTTCGCTGTTTCTACTCACATGGCTTCAGGTACAAATTCCAAACGTAAATAAAGTGGGTAGGTGAAAATGCACCTACTGAGATTTCACTAGATCAGAGACTTACTAACTAATGTAACTAGTTACACCTGCACTTTTCTTTCTGTGACAAGTCAAAATATCCCTGTTAGCTATGAAGAGACAATAAGATTCCTCCAATCAGTTCAGAAGATATCAGCTCTACAATGCCAGCAAGAAATCATTTTATCCACAGCAGCTAGAAGGCATTGTGTGTATGTGTGTGTGTGTGTGTGTGTCATGGTGAAACTGGCCCATTAAAATTCATTTTAGCTCTTTCAAATTGAACCTTTGTTTGAATTCACCTCTCAGGCAAAAGTTCTGGACTTAAACTCTAAAAAAGTCACACTTTTTGTCACACAAGTACACACCACGTTTGTACACTGACCTGCAGTGATATTAATTCATCAAATAGTAAAGAAAATAAAGTCAAATTGGTGTTGAAATAGCTGGCTGGTTTCTAAATAGTCCAGAGGCAAATCAGGTGCTGACTGGGAGCATTCAAATGTCAGTCTGACAGGACACACACACTTGTTTTAATCACTTGTGGACACAGGCCACACATACACAGTGATATCTCTTTGCTGTGGAGCTGCCTTTACTGTTCTTCTTCATCTAATAAAACATCAAAACACAAAAGTGTGTGGTGTTTGTGTGTGTGTGTACGGGGGGTTGTGAAGTTATTTGACCTCAAAAATCTCCTCACCTCAATGTGTGTCTACACAGTACACCAGCAAATGGCTGTTAGATCACTTCTCTCACTTTCTTGTTAACATTCTGCCTTCACACGCTGCTCAGCTTGAAAGGCTCAGATGTGTTATCCCACCAGTGTGTTTTCAGGTTTTGTGCACTGTTTGCACCATGTGCGGCATTGAGACAATAGAAAAGAGGATGCAGGAGGCTGGGCTCTATCTTTAGTCTAGTTTACAGCCTCTAACCAGGCTGGCCTTGGTTTGGGTGAACAGAAAGCTGTCATTCTTTCAGGCTGTGACAAGGCCTGTTTTAGCCCAGGCTGCAGCTGAATGGACAGACAGAAATAATACAGTATGTGAACACCTGTCCTGCTCTGAACAAGGTCACAGTACAGCCCATACACCACCGAAGTACCAGGCAGCTAGAGAGAATGTAAGAAAAGTCTGGAACAGCAAAGAATTACATTGAGAGGCTAGCTGAAGCTTGAATCATGGGATTCACATAAGAGAACCTCAGTGGATGTTTATCTTTTTATGAAACAAATATGCAGTCATATGAAAAACAAGTTTTATTGTGTGAAGAAGAATGGTGGCACGGTGCTGTGGTGGTTAGCACTGTTACCTCACAACAAAAAGGTTCCAGGTTCAAGCCAACCCAGTGCTTTTCTGTGTGTGAAATAAAGATGAACATCAGAGGTTCAGGAGCAGGACCATGCCCCTAACACACACCTTCCCCTTCCACCTGCCTATAAATACTTCTGGTCTCCATCTGCAGAGTGCTTTCCATTTCTCATAAAACCCCGTCTATTCTGTCCTTTCTCTTCCTTTCTACTCTCCTGTACAGTACCTCTCCTCTTCCTTCCTACCGTTTTTCCTGCTTGCTATGGGGGATCTGCCACACCGACATACTGTGCAGATTCACCAGAGGCCTTCTGCCAAAATGCTTTAACAGTCACCAAGCACCATCACAACAAAGTTCCACATAAGTGCCATTCCTTTTCCCCTCAGGTGTGGTCAGGACTAATGAAATGATCACATTGTATTATTATCTATCTATCTATCTATCTATATATGTATATATATAAATATATATATGAGCTTGTTGGTCTCAGTGATGGTTGTAGTAACACCAGAGGAGTTGATAAAGTAGTAACTCGAGACTGCAAGACCAGACATACCAACCTGTGCACTGCCTGGATTGACTACAAGA